GACACAGAATCCGAAACAGGCTCCAGGCTCCGAGCTGTCAGCACAGAGCCCGACACGGGGGTCAAACTCACGGCCCGAGATCATGACCTGAGCTGAAGTCAGAGGCCCAACTGACTGAGCCACCCAGATGCCATGAAATTGGTATTTCTTGATGAAAGACTGCCCTGGGCCCACTCAAATCGTGCTAGTGAAAGCACTGCCTGCCTGGCCTCTCCCAAGGCTGATCTTGCCGGTATATGCACCCGATGAGGGTGTCTACACGGTTTCTGTGGTGCTTCCATTCCCCATCCCATAACTTTACTGCTGCTGGAGTCACAGGGTCCTCGGTGTCTGTATTATATGTGGAAAAACAAAAGACTTTTACAACAGTGAGAATGTCACTCCATTTTTCTGTTCTTGTGGTCCATATACTTGCATATCACAATCTTTTTGATCTTAATAACACTTCTTTTATTAAAAATTTTTTAACAGTTATTTATTTGAGAGAGAGAGAGAGAGAGAGAGAGCGCACAAGTGGGGGAGGGCGCACGAGAGAGGGAGACACAGAATCTGAAACAGGCTCCAGGCTCTGAGCTGTCAGCACAGAGGCTGACGTGGGGCTCAAACCCAGAAACTATGAGATCATGACCTGAGCTGAAGTCAGACGCTTAACCGACTGAGCCACCCAGGCACCCCAATCGATTTAAAAACATTTCTATGACCTTTTCTTCTATTCAAAATCTAATATCATTTTTTTCTTTTCAGATGTCGTCATTAATCTGCTGTCCTTAAGACAGATGTTTTATGAATGGTCACAGTCATCACATAGTGTCTCCACTGATACGACTCTCCACTGAATCCATGGTGTTGTATCAGGCACTGTACCAGGTTCTGGGGAAATAATGGCATTCCAGGTGCTCCCCAGAAGAACTTATAGTCTTGAATGTGTGTGTGGTGGGGGGGAGGGGGGAGTATACGTGTGGGGTGGGGTGGGATGTATGCAAACATTCGGGAAGGTTCACCACACCGCACCAGCATTTCAGCATCATGGTTAAAGGAGTAATCTAGGGTCGGAGCTGTGGGTTTCCATCTACCTCTGCCACTTACTAGTTTTGTCACCTCCGGGCAGATTTCTTAGCATCTACGAGCTTCAGTTGTCTAATCTGTGAAATGGGAACGATAGCTGTTTCTGCTTGTGAAGATTGTTCTGAAAATGGAATGAGCTAGGAGTTTGTAAGGCATTTACTATGGTGTCTGGGGGTCTACCAGTAGTCACTGACACTCAGAATAAGTAGATCACATTTGGGTGTTCTCTACTCATCAAATACCGTTTTTGGGAACTTTTGTGTTTAACTTTACAGCAACCCTTTAAGGTGTGAACTGCTGTTTTACAAATAAGTAAATGGATCTAAGTTAGAAAATGGTACGATGTAGCTGTTAATGCTGTTGTTCTAGTTTTCACTAATATTAATATTTTCTGGAATCTGTCTTGGTGGGTCCTGTTGATTTCTGAGTCCACTGGATTACACAACAAGCAGCAGTTTGGGATCCCGTAACTTTTTGCAAGAGGGAACTGGATCCTCTTGATCTGGGCTCTGACAGAATTTGGTAGGTGTGCTTGCTTCTATGACCACCAGATGGCAGTATACGTCGGTCATTTAATTTAAATAAGAGGAAGGGACTTGGTGTGGGAAAGCCCTCTGAAAGGAAAATTAGGGCACAAATAGTGTAGGTGCTTTGCCATGTGGCAAAGTTAGGGAGTAGGTGATGTGGTAAATATTTCAGATAGTGACGGTCACCTTTAAGTCTTGGTGGCCATGGCACCACCATACATGCCAGGGCCTCTTCTAGCTCTGGCGGGACATGAGGTTTGTGCTGTCATCTGGGTAGATCATGGTGGAGTCAAAAGGCTCACACAGTTCTACAGAGAGCACTGTTGACACAATGACTGCCCGTCGGAACCCCAGGTCGGAGAGTCGGCCTCGCTCCCTTCTAGTATGCTCAGATAGTGATTCTGTGGACGTGGCTGCGGAGGAAGACGCATGTGAGGTGTGCAGTTACCCTTCCTCCCGGGGTTAGATATGATGCTGCTGGGCCTGTCCATTTGGCTGCTCCTCCTGGCTATCTTTGTGCTCTACCTAGACCCCATGGCCGCCCATGTGTGAGCTGGCCGTGGGGACCCATCTGGGAACATGAACAGCACGTTTTGGAGAATCTTTAGACAACAGAAATATAGTTTCTTTGGGAAGATCTTTAAAATCTGAAACGAAGATGATGTATTTTTACTTAACACGTGCAGTTCTCTGTCTTTTCCACGGGGATCAGTGGACCCCCTTCTGTCATACCCTTGACCACCATGGTAACAGTATCATCTGACAAAACTCATCTCGACTCAGTTTGTCGGGTTGCCCTATTGACTTCGGTCCAAGCTGCATAGGAAGCTATGCAATCTTTAGTAGGGCATCTGCTTAGAAACCTAAGAGACGCCCTTGGCATTAGCACATGATCACTTTCATTTTTCTGGCCATTTTATCAGAAACCAGTCACAGAACATGTATGAAATCACAGAGGGGGTCTAGGAGAAGAGGAGGAAAAACTGAATATCCAGTACATAATGTAATGAGGGGATGGGCCCTGGCATCAAAATCTGGATTGGCCTGTTTAGAAGCCAGGTGACCTTGAGTAAGTCATTTCACTTCTCAGTTTTGCCAACCACTAAGTGGGGGGAAATAGTAACACCTAATCTCGCAGGGTTCCTATTAAGATCACATGATTAGATCGTGTGCTAGGCCTGGCAAAGTGTGCCTGGCAAGTAGTAGGTTCTTAAATGTTGACTGCTGTCATGTTCACCATCATCATCCATGAAAATATTCTTTAACCACTGGATGCTACTGAATTTTAGATACTGTGAATACAAACAAGCATTGTTCTGACCAAATCCTCCCTGGAAAGCCATGGGAATCAGGGTGCATCTCCAACACACGGTATGCCTCTTAATTGGTAAGTAGCTTTATCTGCCAGGTGGAAGAAGTCTGCATGAAACTTGAAGCATTTAGAAAAAGCCAAGTTTTGTAAAGGATGAGGAAGGCTTAGAGGAGGCAATGTGGACAGAAGTTTATACAACGCAGTCTTGTAAGGCTACAAATAATGATAGCTTTCTTTTTTCTTTTACTTATTTTTTAAATAGGCTTCACGCTCAATGTGAAACCCAACATGGGGCTTGAACTCACAACCCTGAGATCTTGAGCTGAGATCAAGAGTCAGATGCTTAACTGACGGAGCCAGCCAGGCGCCCCAATAATGAAGCATAGCTCAGGGCTAGGTGCTTGGCATCACCTAGTTCTGAGTAAATCCCAGTATCCTAGAGCGCCCAAACCACAAAGAACCTTAGAGAACATCCCGCTCAATCACCTCATTTTATAAAGGTGCTCAGGACTCAAGGCTAGAAGCATGAACTGGTCAGAGGATAAGAAAAAACAGATTGTCCCATACTTATAGATGACCCTGCACATGCAGAATTGAATCCCCAATGTTTCTTGGAAGTATAGTGAAAACAGCGTGTGCACTGAAAAGATTGTACATGGTGCTAAGGCCTCAATACTCCCAAGGCATGTAACTGGGGGCCACTCTGCTAGTTATTAGGACACAAAGAGACAGAAGACCTCTGCCATTTTGCTAAAGGGCTCACCACCCATTCATGCAACATACATTTTCTGAGCACCTATTATGTGCCAACTACTGAACTCAATTCCAGGGATCTGGAGAGAGTTTACAGTCTAGCAAGGGAAAAATATGTAAATAATATCCAAGCAGATGACTAGTCTAGTGTTATGAGATTGAAAGACGTCATACGATGTTACATAAGGAGCACCTGAGTAATCTTAGGAAGATTAGAAAGAGCTTGTGGGCAGAGGTGAGCAGATAACGGTGCTGGTGGAGTTTGGAACCACATTCCAGGGTGAATGCAACATGAAGGCAGGAATGCTATCCCTTATACTGTCTTAGACCCACCCTTTTCTCTCCTCGTGCACTGCCATTGCCCCCATCCTACAACATTATCACCTCTTTTTTTTTTAAGTTTATTTACTTTGAGACACAGAGAAAGTGAGCAGGGGAGGGGCAGAGAGAGAGAAAGGAAGAGGGAATCCCAAGCAGGCTCCACACTGTCCGTACGGAGCCAGACACAGGACTCGAACCCACGAACCCCAAGATCATGACCCGAGCCAAAATCAAGAGTCAGATACTTAACTGACTGAGCCACCCAGGCTCCCCAAAATCACCTCTTTCTTATTTGAATTACTGCAGTTCCTCCGGCCACCTGCATCCACCTGATACATTCGCCACATGGAAGCCATGTGATCTTTTTAGGACACACATTTGAATCACATCATTCCTCACACCTAAGACTTCTCAAAGGTGCCCGATGCCCTCAGGATATTTAGTAACATTTAACAACGATGATGATGATAAAAATATCAAACTTACACAGAGCTTCCTATGTACCTGGTGTTCACCTTCGTGCTTTATGGGTATAATTGATCCTCATTATTTGTGGATTTCGTATTTGTGAAATCCTCTAACTTGCAAAAGTTTATCTGCAACCCCAAAATGAATACTCAGTGTGCTTTTGCAGTCATTTGTGGACAAGAGCTGAGTGTTATTGGAGTGGTCTGATGTGCACATTTCTCTCTAAGCTCAAACAAGGCAACGTTCTGCCATCTTGTTTCAGTTCCTCATATCGTAAAGCTTTCAGTGTCAAGACTCAGTTGGGTCATGCTCATCTCACATGTTTTAGAACTGCATCCCAGACCCACACAACTAGAAAGGAAATAACAAAATTCTACCAAAAAACCTGAACGAAGCCAGAAAGAAACAGACTTCAGGGATTGCTCTGTCTACTGGCTTTCGTGTGTCAGGTAATAAAAACTGCAGTGAAAGACCAAGTAATAGAAAATTTAATGGAAAATGGGAAGTACAGACTTTTCCCTCCAAAGCATAAAAAGGAAAAGAAAATGGCTTACCTGTTGTGGAGATTGTCCATTGGGTTTCTCTGGAAGTTTAACTTCTCTTCCTGCAACAACAAAAAAGTTGCAGATTGAGTCTGCAAGTTGCCTCCTGTTCACAGCCAAGTTGTATCTTGAAAGTGACAGCAGAGGGGCGCCTGGGTGGCGCAGTCGGTTAAGCATCCGACTTCAGCCAGGTCACGATCTCGCGGTCCGTGAGTTCGAGCCCCGTGTCAGGCTCTGGGCTGATGGCTCAGAGCCTGGAGCCTGTTTCCGATTCTGTGTCTCCCTCTCTCTCTGACCCTCCCCCATTCATGCTCTGTCTCTCTCTGTCCCAAAAATAAATAAACGTTAAAAAAAAAATGTTTAAAAAAAAAAAGAAGAAAGTGACAGCAGACAGCATGTCCTGAGGGGGTGCGAGGCAGTGAGGTGGGGGAATTGAGTTCCCTTGCCTGGGAAGACTAGTGTCTTGGGACTTGCCACGCCTTGGTTTGCAGCCTAGCTGCTGAATCAGCAATCAATTAACAACCACCCAATTTCAGTGTTTTCCTCTATAAAAAGGTTGTAGTGACATTTAAATGGCACAACATGTAAGTAGTTTATCACATGCTGGGCATGCTGGGATTATTCAATAACCAAAAGCTACTGTTGTTATTTATTACTGTTGGTAAATACCACACGGCAATGCACTTCTTCTCTGATGGGTAAAGTTTCGACTAAACAGAAAAAAAAAAATCAAGGAATTTTCTTCCTGTAGGCCTATCAAATAATCAAAGTTTCAATGAATACATATGCAGTATCTTAATAAAGTATATAATTGAGAAAATAGCATTGCTTAGTGAAAATAATGGTGTGTAATTTTGAGAAAGTAAAGCTAGTGTTCAGATTTTTACCAACTTCTCTGTGACTATTAGAATAATTCACCTATATCAAGACACAACATTTTCAGGAAATGCTCTAAGTCTGCTCCCAGGTAAATTACTTTGTGAGATACTGAATTCCACAATAGTGGAATGGTTTCACCCTTTTGGTAATCCACTTTCATTGTCCTGTAATGTCTTTTCACTCAGTATTATTTCTTATCATTTAATTATTCCTTAATATCGAATACATTGCTGAAAGGTCAGGTGATTCTATTCTTAATTTTGACACAGCGTTCATAATTCAACTCAAATATTATTTGGTAAGAAAGACATGAGAAAGGCAAAGTCCACGGCCTCAGGGAGCTAGCCATCTGGCTGGGGAGGGCACGGAGACAACGAGAGTTTACAAGTCACTAAAATACTATGCAGGGTACAAATAATGCCATCAGAGGAACCGACAAAATCTCAGGACTGCGAGGTTGTGTCACTGGGCCGGCAGGCGTTCGCTGACATTTGAGAGAAACTGTGGCAGATGGAAAAATAACGATGGTGAGATGTGGTGGGAGGGCCTTTCGGGTAGAGGGAACGTGGCAAACAGAGGACAGGAAATGATGGGAGTATTATTTAGTGAAATCACTGAATTCCTACTGTGTGCCAGGCTCCAGGAAACTGCAGGGAATGGTACACCCACATGGGGTGTACCCTATAAAATGACAGCCCTAACTGCAAAAGAGTGAGTATTCTGGATTTCTCGGTGTTTAAGGAACTTGGAATCTGCCATGCGGTTGGTAGACTTGCCGTGTGCCAAGTGCATTGAAGGAAACCAGATGCATATGGCAGTTTGGAGTTACAGTTAAGACCCTACTTAAGAGTAAAGAATGGACCTTGAAGAGGGAGCATTTAAACTGAGATCCACAGAATGAGAAGGAGCTCTCAACAAGCCATGCCCTTGTTAAGAAGCCTTAAGTGGTTCTGCATTGCCAGCCAATGTCCTTTAACGTCCTCAGCTCAGCGTTCGGGACCTTCCACAATATGGCACGAGTGGCTCTGCTAGATTAGCTCTGAAGCTTCTCTAGCCACCCCTACTCCCAGCCAATCTGGATTTTCCACTCTTTTCTAAACAGGCTTACATTTTTCCTGTTTCTATGCCTTTGCACATATTATTTCTCCCAGCTGGCTTGCAAAATTCTACTGATCCTTCAAACCTCATTGCACACCACCTCCGCCATGAGATTTTTTTTTTTTTTAACCCCAAGTAAAGGTAATTACTCCACTATTTTCATTTCTGTGGAATCTTATCTTCTTGGACGGCTCCGATCACTTTTTGCCTTCATTATTACAGTGATTCGTTTATATAACGTTCCCTCCACTGGCCTGTAAACGTTTAGTAGGGAGGGGTCACAGCTTCACCACTGTTCAAGCACATGTTGTGTCTTCTGACACAGTGACTTGCATATAGAGGTACACGGCATGACTTTTGAAAATGTGAGTTATAAGTATCACTGGGAACTTTAAGATGCTTAATACCAATGTATTATATTATAAAACAACAGTGTACGTATTTAATCAGATCTAAGATGCACATGTATTCATTCACTTTTTAACACTTCTGAAACTGAAATGCAACTTACATTCACTGGCACATCATGGTTAAGTTTGAGGCATTATTTTCTATTTTTGTGGTATATAACAGTACATGTTATAATCTATGACATCAAATATTCAATGAAATGTGGCATTTTAATACCATAATTTGTTATCTCAGGAATATATTATGTGTATATTTACTAAATATATTCTATGTTAAATAAGTGTCTACCTGGAACGCAATTAGATGAGTATTATATAAGACACGGTCCATTTACCAGAAGCTTCATTTAATTAATTAATTAAATTTATTTGCTATATTTATTTATTTATTTAATATAATTTATTTTCAAGTTGGCTAACATACAGTGTATACAGTGTGCTCTTGGTTTTGGGGGTAGATTCCCATGATTCATCGCTTACATACAACACCTAATGCTCATCCCAACAAGTGCCCTCTTCAATGCCCATCACCAATTTTCACCACCAAGCCCCCGCCACCATCAACCCTCAGTTTGTTCTCGGTATTTAAGAGTCTCTTATGGTTTGCCTCCCTCCCTCCCTCCCTCCCTCTCTGTTTGTAACTGAAGATTTTGTTTTTAAGTAATTTTTACACCCAATGTGGGGCTCAAACTTACAACCCAGAGGCCAAGAGTCACATGTTCTACTGACTGAGGTAGCCAGGCACCCCTAACCCAAGAACCTTCTAAGATGAGAACTAACAATATACAGAGATGGACTCGAGAATTTTACTTCTAAGCACTACATAAAGATCATGTATCAAAACAAAAACGATAACCAGAAATAAGACCCTTCAAATGAATTCTATTTTTTTTTCCCCAGAATGACTTTTTGAAACAAATTCTTTCCAAAGAAAATATTTTGGTACACCTGCTTTGTTGGTGCTTATTGGCTAATTTATTTGTTGGGCAAGATAGCATTGACATTACCTTGGGTTGTCCATGGTGAGGACCCAATGGCTGGTAAAACCAATCAGGCCTAAGTATTATGAGAGTTTGGGAGAAGACGAAATCCCAGTGTGGTCGAGCTGCCAGGAAAGGCTTGACGGAGAAATGCAGACATGGGAGGTGGCAGAAATTAGAGAGGGCAGGGGTAGGAGAGAATACGGGACTTGTGCAAAAGGCAGTGGGGAGGCCCATGCTATGGATTTGGAGATGAAAATGGCATCTCTGAGGTTACTGGGGCCTCTGAAAGTAGGCACAGAAGACCTAATGTGACCTGATTGGTGATGCGGGTAGGTTCCCGAGCAGCAAGTGGCAGAATGGCAGCAATACATCAAAAAGCCTCCCTTGCTGGCAACAGACAAGCAACACCTCAAGAGTTTTGTGCAGAGACTTGCTAAGAGTTGATCCTTTGAATTAAGTGAGGAGATGGGACGAGCCTGGTATGTGGTGGTATCAAAGAGAAATCCAAAGGAAAGAGCAGATGTGGAAAACCAGCTTTTCAAGCTTTCTTTGGTTTTTGAGTTAGGCATTGATTTCTACTGTCCCTGGTTTCTCTTAGTGGTTTGGTGTATACACTTACTACGTATAGTGTCTTGGGAAAGTTGTGTTGCCTCACTACCCGTTTCCCTGTGAGTAAAATAACAATTATAATTATATAGTACCTTTTTCAGAGAACAGTTAGGGTTAAGTGAAAGAAAACAGTAGAGTATTGAGCACAGGGGTTGGTACAAACCATAATCTTAACATTAGCTATGATTTTTCATCCACTGTCATTGTCAGCGTCACCATGACCATCACCATCATCATCATCATCATCAATCAGTCAGTTTCTGTTTTTCTCCCTGCCACTCACTGGAAATTTCTTGGGTCCAATGGTCACATCTCATTATCTTTGTTTCTTCAACAAGGAATACAAAGTAGGACTTCCACAAATATGTACTGAGTTTTATGAAAAATAACAAGCCAGATCTCCATGAAAGAAAGGATTTGCGTGACAAAAGGAGTTACTGAAATTATTCTCATTCTTGGAGGCTGGCAGATGGAAAGAATGGTGGTTCCATACACAGAACAGGTGGAAGGAGAACCTGTATTTGAGTGCAGTATTTGAGAGTGCCTGAGTTCAGCATTTAGCCTTCTGAGTTGAAGTGATGGCTGGGGAGATGGTTAAGGGAAAGGTGGCAGAAAGAACAAATGCAGCCAGCCACTTCCCATTACAAAGGAAGAGGCATGCATAGCTCACAGAAAGAGCAAAGGTCCATAAAAACAGAAAGCCCATGGATGTGAAGTTAACTAGCAAGTTAGTAGGGTGGGAAGCCAAGAATCGGCCCGATTTAGCAGAATCCTTAAAGGCTTTAGGACAGAAGGGAAAAAGAAGGGAGGGCTAGAATCAGGATGATTTGGAAGGTGTTTAAGAAGCAGTTAGGGGGGCGCCTGGGTGGCGCAGTCGGTTGAGCGTCCGACTTCAGCCAGGTCACGATCTCACGGTCCGGGAGTTCGAGCCCCGCGTCAGGCTCTGGGCTGACAGCTCAGAGCCTGGAGCCTGCTTCAGATTCTGTGTCTCCCTCTCTCTGACCCTCCCTTGTTCATGCTCGGTCTTTCTCTGTCTCAAAAATAAGTAAACATCAAAAAAAAAAATTAAAAAAGCAGTTAGGG